GTAGCCCAGGGAGTTGTAGCTGTCATGCAGCTGGTTAAGGAGGCACTCTAGACAGCTGCAGTCCACAGGGCCCTGGGCTGGAACCCGGAGTAGAGGGCGGGCCCGGGTTCCCCCCCAAACCTCCCCATTGACCTGGACTGTGGGTTCTTCCAGAGGGGAAGGTCTCTGGGTTGTTCCCCAACCCACATGGTGAATCTCCGAGGCAAGAAAATCCGCCAATAAGCGCAGGACCCACCAAGATAGAGGAGGAACTTTGTCACACCAGGCACATCAGGGAGAGTTGCTAAACAGGTTCTCAAGACAAAGGAAAGAGGCTAATATCTCAAAGCAGGTGTGGCCAAATTCAATAGGCTATTCATTTGCATCGGAGATCACAGTGCAGGAAGAGAACATGAAGGTCATGTCTACATTGTACCAATACAGCTGTGCTGCTGTAAGATGGCATAACGCAGTTACATAAGCAAAGGGGAGAGAGCTCTCCCGTCAACATAATAAAAGCAGTGTAACGAGCAGTGGTAGAGCGCGTCCTGCCGACACAGCACTGTGCACACGAGCGCTTATACCAGCAAAACTTAGGGGTGTGTTTTTTCACACTCCTGAGCGACCAACGTTTTGCTGACAAGTGCTTGTGTAGACATGGCCTTACACTGTAAAACTGCAGCAGGACGTGTCACTGTGGAACACACCAGGGGACACATTAATCAAGATGGAGTCAACCCCCAGAGTAGATGGGAGACTGAACCTCAGGGGATCAGTTTGATCCTTGCAACAAAGGCAGATTGGGACTTAAGAACACACAGAGCCTCTGGATCATCCTTCACCTGAGGAGACAAGGAGAACCCTGGACTCTGCAGGGAACATCGCTGAAAGCAAGCCGGCCATTGCTGGGAAAAGAAGACGGGTGAGGAAAGTACCTTGTAGAAAGGCTGTAGCTTGTTCAGTTAGGAGTTAGCCATTAGAAAGGGCATTTGTACTTCTGTCTGTTTGTAACTCTTTCTACCTTTATTCCTTCTACTTGGTATCACTTAACCTATAGCCTTTTGTTAATAAACTTGTTTTATTTTTCATATAAACCAACTCCGTGCTGGGTTTGAAGGGAAAGGTGCATTTACCCCTGTAAATAAGCTGTAATGTGATGACTCTGATAGAGCTGCAAACTTAGTATCTTCTGTGCATGTACAGTGGTAGGGGCTGTGCATCGCAGAGAACCATCTCTGATGGGCTCGAGGGCTGGTGTTCACTGACTGTTACCTGCTGGGCGAGGTCTGGTCTGGTCTGGCTGCATCCAAAGAAGTGGGGTTTTTACCCATGAAAGCTTATGCCCAAATAAATCTGTTAGTCTTTAAGGTGCCACCAGACTCCTCATTGTTTTTGTGGATACAGACTAACGTGACTACCCCTCTGATCTCTGTCTGGGCTGGGAGAGCCTGGAGGAGTTTGCTGGTGATGGGGACAGGCTGGTGTGGCAAGGAGCTGACTGTCTGCTCTCCAGCAAAGCTCACTCTTGCAGAGTGGCTCACAGCTCTGGGTATCTCCAGCTGTGTGGTACAGCACTGGAACTGGAGATGTAACTGCCAGCTTGAGTAGACATACCTGTGCTAGCTCTGACTGACAGTGTCTCCGCCGCATGGGCAGCACGACGGGCTAGTTGCCACATAGGTAAATAGGCTTTCAGGTGCTTGGGTGGCTATCCCATCCAACCACCCAGGCAGCCGCAGCTACACTGCTATTTTTAGTGCACTAGCTTGATCAGAGCTAGGTGGGTATCTCTAATGGAGCTGGAAATTACACCTCTAGCTCCAGTGTAGATAGCCTAAAGCCAGCACAGCTCTGGGGGTAACAGGAGTAAAAAACAGCAGCAATCTCTAAAGGCATCACTAAAGGCAGCAGATCTGACCCTGAATGCAAACGCGGAGACTGACTACGTAAGAAGAGGAACCAGCGTGTCCCAGCGAGAGCTGCCTGCTGGCTGGCTAAGAGCTGATGCCGTGAGGTGAAACCACTGTACAACGTGGAAGGAATCTAACAATGCAGATAACACAGTACTGTGCTTGGGAGCCACAATCTAGCCCTGTGAGCCCTAGACATTCTCTGTCCCTTTACCTGGAAAGAGGTGGAATGCAGCCCTCCATGGGCTGCACTGTTAGGTAGTTAATGTGTCCCTCTGAATAGCGCGAGCAGTCTCTGAAAGCAAAGCTGAAGGTCTCATTCTCGTTGTTAATCATGTGAACCGTCTTGTGGGCCTCATGTCCTTTGGAGGAAACACAGGAAGGAGACAGCAAACCTTTAGTTCTCCTGGCAGGTTGGCATGGAATCAGCCACCACTCATCTATCTCATAGAAAAGTGCATGGCTTGTCCAAGTCTTTTTTACTAGGCAAGATGTGCTGCAGGTGGAAAGGACAAGGCAAAAAAGCTCCCCCTGCTGGAGAAGCATAGTTAATGCAGAATGTAAAATAAATTAAACTTCTATACAGGCGGAGGGAATCACTAGGGATGCTAGTGAACAACATGGCTGTCTATCATTGAGCTGCGCATGAGAAATACAGCATCTGAGCTAACCCAGAATTCGGTACCCTCATCAGTATAATTATTGGTATTTTGTATTGGGGTAGCACCTAGGTGGACCAGACCCGGTTGTGCATAGCCAGGGACTAAGGGTATGTTTATGCTGGAACTGAGAGCAATCAAGCTAGCATTGCAGCTTGGGAAGCAGCTCAGGCCCTCCAGCTCGCCCAGCCCCTGGTCTGAGCGTGGGGGGCCAGCCCCAGTCTCCACCAGAGCCACAGCGTCCACACTGCTATTTCTAGCACTCTAGCTCAAGTGGAGCTCACACGTATCTGTCTCCCTGGGCTGTGAGGCTCCCTCCCAGCTGCAGTGTAGACGTCCCATCCCAGTCTGACAGCAGAGCTTGATTACATTTAATGTGCAAGGAGATAGGATGGGGAAAATAGCCCTGACAAAAATGTCCAAAACTCTAAACATTTTGCAAAAGCTGTGCGGGCTTTAGGGCTAACAGGAGTAAAAAACAGCAGCAATCTCTAAAGGCATCACTAAAGGCAGCAGATCTGACCCTGAATGCAAACGCACGAATACCAGATAGAGCATCTGGCATGACATGGGTCTTGCAGGCCCTCAGCTGGGGTTACCAACGGAAATCGCTCACGAATGTCCCCACACCAGGCATGAACCAATGAAACCTTCACATGGGACCAACCCCTTGACACACACTCACATACTGTACTGGTGGATGAATGGATGGACTGGGATTCAGCTGACAACACATCGGAAATCTCTTCTTTAACCCACTCTTTACTCCACCCTCCCTCTTCCCCAGTTGCTATATCTCACTCACCACTAATAAGCAGCTTTGCTTGAGAAATTTGAAATCTGACACCCCTTCTACCCTTAAACCCCTACCAACCAACCAACAATAAATACATTAATAAAATCTTCAAACAACAAACAAAAAAACCAACACTGCCCCATGCAGCAGAGTTCTGAGCCTGAAAAGGGAGAAATGTCAGACATTGCATGAAATCAACTAGGATCTTTGCTATTAAGAACATAAGAGCGGCCACACTGGGTCAGACCAATGGTTTATCTAGCCCAGGATTCTGTCTTGTGACAGTGGTTGGTACCAGATGCTTCAGAGGGAACAAAGAGAACAGGGCAATTATTGAGTGATCTATCCCCTCTCGTCCAGTCCCAGCTTCTGGTAGTCAGAGGTTTAGGGACACCCTAAGCATGGAGTGGCATCCCTGGCACTGATGGACCTATCTATCTAATTCTTATCTAATTCTCTGCTGAACCCAGTTACACTTGTGGCCTTTGCAACATCCCCTGGCAATGAGTTCCACAGGTTGACTGTGCATTGTGTGAAGTACTTCCTTTTGTTTGTTTTAAACTTGCTGCATGTTAATTTCATTGGGTGACCCTGGGTGCTTGTGTTATGTGAAGGGGTAAATAACAGTCCCTTCCTCTACACCATTCATGATTTTATAGACCTCTATCAGATCCCTCCCTCTTAGCTGTCTATTTTCTAAGCTGAAAAGTCCTAGTCTTTTAAATTTCTCCTCATATGGAAGCTGTTCCGTACCCCTAATCATTTTTGTTGCCTTTCTCTGGACCTTTTCCAATTCTAATATATCTTTTTTGAAACTGGGCAACCAGAACTGCATGCAGTATTCAAGTTGTGGGAGTATCATGGATTTATATAGTGGCATTATGACATTTTCTGTCTTATTTTCTATCCCATTCCTAAGGGCTCCTGACATTAGCTTCTTTGACTGCTGCTGAACATTGCTATTGTTTTACATGGAAGGTGCTCAGATACTAAGGTGATGGGCAGCAATATAAACCCGAAGAGAGATGGACAGAAATTGTCTTTCTCCTTTGAAGTGCTCTTTTCCACTTTCAGCCTCTAGTTTTTTAATGTTAAATAACAGAACTAGGATCAACAGTAACTATAGAACATTACATTTTTGAATGGAGAGAAAAGTGAAAGGTAGCAGCGATCACAGGCTCCCATAGTGTGGGACACAGAGTCTGTCCTTACCGACTAACAGAGAGAAATAGTTCAGGTGGGATCTGTCCAGCGATACTGAGGGGTCGGTGGTGTTGCCCACCAACAGGAATGGGACTGAGATGTTCTGTTCAGGGATTGCAAAGGTCCAAAACGATTCTGTGGTACCCAGGTGCTGCGGGATGAATTCAAACGTGACCTGAGGGAAGAGGAGGCAAATTAAATCAGGTGACTATCCATGGAGTGGTGGTGAAATGGGTGATACACCAGACTTGGATCAGGAATGGGACAGGTGTAATACCGTATGTGGCTCTCGGTCTCCACCTAGTAGCTAGATCACAGGAATAACTGAGTTGAAGAGCCTCTGCAGCCTATGCTGAAGAATCCTGCTTCCACAGCTCCAAGGCTGTAGCAGACTCATACACATGGACTAGCCACCAGAGGAATTCACAGTCAGGCTGCGTAGGCCGGGTTACACATACATAGGGGTTGATCAGCAAGGTCATCTTCTTATGGCGTGACAGCCCCATTTTCTTGCTCTACAGGCACACTACAAAGGGTTTCTCATCCCTTTGAGATCTTGTGCAACCCATTGCCTCAGTGAGGAATGAATGCCTGCTAGCTTTCCTGGGAACTGCAAGCTGCTTGTGAGCTCAGGCAGTTGCACAAACTAGCCAGCAGCACACCTACCAAGGCAGACATCTCTAATAAGTAAATGGAGCTGCAGGATTGGGTCATATTGATTTTGCTTTGACTTTCTCAGATGCTCAGGCTTAGGTGTGACCAAAAAAAAAAAAAAAAAAAAAAAAGCAGAGTACATAACTCCAAGGTCAAGAGAACAGAACACCTGCTCTGGAGTGAAGGAGCAGGTGGCCAGCTAATCCCCACAGTGAGTGAGACACACTTAGGGCTTCTCTACATAGGCGCACTCAGGAAACTTAATCCAAATAATTTTTAAAGTGGATTAGTTAAACTATATTAAACTCCTTTGTGGACACTCTTATTCAGAATTAAAGTGGCCTTAATTCAATTTATCTTAATTCACTAAAGTGATATAATCATAATCCAATTAAGGCCACTCTAATTCTGAACAGGAGTGTCCACACAGGAGTTTAATGTAATTTAATTAATCCACTTTAAATTCATATCTTTAGTTAATGCAGATTAACTTTCTTGAGTGTCCCTATGTAGACAACACTCTTCCCTTCCATTCAAGAATTTCCTGGTGCAGGATTGTGCCACGTGCAAAAGGAGATGCCCAAAGATGGTTTTAGCAGAGAACACTAAGACAATGGGCCAGATTCTGTGCTGACTTCCAGCCTGTGCAGGTTGACCAAAGAAAGACGTGGAGCAGTGTAGTGGGGCGCTGCCCCAGTCCTGCAGAACAGGGATTGAAAGCAGTGAGAGCAGCTGAGGGAGTGGCTGACCATAGCTGTGCCAGCTCAATCCGGGCCCAGCTGGCCCTGAGAAGAGGGCTGGGGGTCAGGAGCTGGAGGAGTCTCGCTCTTGCTCTGGAGAGGGGAGGACCTGGCTGCTGGGAGCTTAGGGTACTGGGAGTAGAGCAGGGCTGGGGAAAGGCCAGAGGAGCTGGGGAGCTCCAGCCTGGCAAACCCCCAGGCTGCGGGCCTTGCTAAAGGCCAAAGCAGGTACTGGGATTGCAGAAGGGCAGCCCAGAGATAGGCAGAGTCCAACCCCCTTGCTGATGAGTGGCCTTTACAGACTGCAATCTGCCCCAGTGAGCGGGGGCTAGATGACGACTGGCAGCAGCCACTGAGGCAAGGTGGGTGAGAGGGTTGGGGGTTTCCCTGGGAGGGGAGACCCAGAGCGGGGGTACTGCAGGAGCAGAACCCAGAGGTAAAGGCACTGGGGTCCGGGCAGGGCACGGGGCCTGAGGCAGGTGAACCACCGGCCAGCAGGGGCGCTCCAGGCTGAAATTGAGCTAATTCCCAGGATAACCAGCAGGAGGCGCTGCGCCAGTGAGTCCCGCACCACTACAAGCAGGCGCTTCTCTGTCCTCCCACCACTATGGTTCCCTTCCCTCATTCAGTCTTCCCTCACCCTCGGACGTGGCTATTGCTCATGAGGAGAGATACCCACACTTCCGACTGTAGCTGCAGCATCCTGTCTCCAATAGTCGGCTGTCATGCAGACTTGAGCCCTCTAGTTAGCCACAAAATAGGGGAGAGCAAACTTCCCCTCCAAAATGTTCTCACTTCTGACCATGGCAGCTTCCGGAACGGGTCAGAGGGCAGCTTCCATGCCTGCTTAACACACAACCTCCTGGGCGGGACTGGGATGGCACTGTGCCAGTTTGCTATAGCAGACATGTGATTTGGCTAATCACAAGAATCTGAAGTGAGACAATCTGCTTCACATTGGCCACTAGACAGCTTGCTGTCACCCAGACAACAGGCAGCCCCTAACGGCTTTCGAGAGATTCAAACCAGGGGGCTATAGCGGAAAGACTCTGTATCCCAACACTGCTCAGCTGGGTCATCCAATCCCCGGGCTCCGGGCTTTGTCTCTGGGTCCCTATTCATTTCTGCTCTTGGAGAAACCTCCTTCCTTACCCTCACCCACCTGCCCATTTCATTTTCTTACTCCCCTACGTCAGAGGGAGCTTGTGAGAACTAGCTATTACTGAGACAGGCCCCTGCCTGCCCGCACAGCCCGGGTGGGTTCAGAAGGCTGCCTGTACTGAGGTGTTGCCGGGGAACAAGCTGCCCGTAGTCCCTGCTTAGCCAACGGAGCTAGAGCAGTCTGGCACAGCCTACGAAGTGGGCAAGGCTGGCCAGTGAGTGGGCAGGAGATGTGCTGATTCCATTAATCTCGGGGCACTCCCCATCCGTGGGGCACCAGTGGCAACCCAGATCGCATTTAAAGCTGCCTTTCCTCTGCCAGTCCCTCCCCATGCCCTCGCCTCAGGTGGTGGTGATGCAAGTTGGCAACACCTGCGCCTGCAGGATTGAAATAAGCTCAGCTCTTTCAAGTGCTTGAAAACAAAGTGCCGTGTAAAAGCTATGCATTACAATTAGAGCAGTATTGTACACAGTGAGACCTGTACACCACTAGACAAGACACCTGTGTCAGCCTCCCTCCTACCTCAGCCTTCTTCTCAGGCCGGATCTGGCCCATTTCTGTCAGACAGCTGAAGACTGACTGTTCTCGCAAGTCTTCTGGCTGTTCACAGGCCCACTGGAAGGAGTAGGTGGAATTGGTGGGGTTCACAAGCATGAAGGTCCTGGCCACAACAAACAGAAATTGCCATTAGAAAGGGAACAGTGAACAGCTCTGGGAGCTAGTGGCTTGGCTGCTCAGCAGACACCGGGCACTGCCAGCTCCTCCAAGGGAGGATTCCTTGGCACACCCCATCTACCTCCACTGCTATGGGCATGACAGCTCCATCCCATTACCGGTTCTGGAGACCCCACAGCCCTCTGGGCTGGCTACCTTTATCCTCTGTAAACAGAAACTGAGGTCAGCCCCATGCAAACCCTAGCACCAGAGTGGTGAGGGTAAAATCCAGCACAACAAGGCTCTTTAGAGCTCTCTAGAGGGGTTATTTCCTTCGCTGACCCTATCAAGTATTCAAAGAGTCAAAAAAGAGGCCAATCCCGTGGAGAGAGAGCAGAGTTATACTGGATGACACCTATGGTCTGGGGACCAGCTACGTTTGTTGCAGGACTGGATGGTGGAAGCAAAGATGGCTAGTCTATGTTGCTCCTGTCTGCCCAGAGCCCCAAGTGCAGCTGTGCCATAAGGAGTTTAGAAGACTGGTCTCTGGCTGAGTTGTTGTGACTAGCCAGCAGTCAGCAAGTGAAGCCTTCTCCACGCCCACCTGCGGTTCCGAGTGTGCACTCCGACGGATGCAAACTCAATCACCCTGGTGTTGGGATCCAGCGCAGCCCCCCAGGGCCCTCGCAGCTCTGGGTTGCGCCTGTTTGCGGTGAGGTAGTCAGAGTCCTCCAGCTCGAAATGGCAGTATGGCAGGAGGCTTCTCCCCTTCACAGCCACTACGGGGCCTTCGTGGTTGGGCTTCAGGTTGGGGATACTGAGAAGAAATGGACCAGTCAGTGTTATCAAAGGCAGCGGAGCAGCTTTATGGCTTTGCTGTACACAGCTTTCACGTCCTCTCTCTCAGTAGGTGTACCGAGCAGTGAATCAAATGGAAGCTCACTCTGTGGTGATGAGGCAGCAAAGGAGACACATGAATAGTAATTCCTCCGTGGGAGAAAAGTGGCACCTTTACTGATAAGCACACTGGAGGTCGTGCTGGTGACTCAATATGGCTAAGCACTCGCTAAGTTTCCATACTCATCCAAAGCCAGTACTAGTGATCGAACCTCTTGGGGCTTAGGTGATTTCCCATACCCAAGGTAAATTAGTAACTCCACCAGAATGGTACAAGCCAGGCAAAGAGGCTGTGGGAGGACTGTGAATTACTTACCCTCCATCTCTGAAAGGCGGAATCCTACTTGTACCCAACCCCCTTTTCAACATTTTTTTAAAGTGAGTTTTCTCAGGTTCCCAAGAAGAAGGATTGCTAGGAAGAGATGGAATCCACCTAACGAAGAGAGGGAAGAGCATCTTCGCAGGCAGGCTGGCTAACCTAGTGAGGAGGGCTTTAAACTAGGTTCGCCGGGGGATGGAGACCTAAGCCCAGAAGGAAGTGGGGGAGTGGGATACTGGGAGGAAACACAAGGAGGCGGGTACAACAGGGGAGGCCTCCTAATTCATACTGAGACAGTAGGGAATTGGCTAGTTATCTTTGGTCCTGCTTTGAGCAGGGGGTTGGACTAGATGACCTCCTGAGGTCCCTTCCAACCCTGATATTCTATGATTCTATGATCTTAGGTGCATGTACACAAATGCAAGAAGCCTGGGAAACAAGCAGGGAGACCTGGAAGTCCTGGTACAGTCATGGAACTATGATGTGATTGGAATAACAGACTTGGTGGGATAACTCACATGACTGGAGCACTGTCAGGATGGGTATAAACTGTTCAGGAAGGACAGATATGCGAGGAAAGGTGGAGAAGTTGCATTGTATGTAAGGGAGCAGTATGATTGCTCAGAGATCCAGTATGAAACTGGAGAAAAGCCTGTTGAGAGTCTTTGGGTTATGTTTAGAGGCGAGAGCAACAAGGGTGATGTCGTGGTGAGCATCTGCTATAGACCACCAGACCAGGAGGATGAGGTAGACGAGGCTTTCTTCGGACAACTAACAGAAGTTTCCAGATCACAGGCCCTGATATCTGCTGGGAGAGCAATACAGCACAGACAATCCAGGAAGTTTTTGGAGAGTGTTGGGGACAACTTCCTGGTGAAAGCACTGGAGGAACCAACTAGGAGCCATTCTCCTCTTGACCAGCTGCTCACAAACAGGGAAGAACTGGTAGGGGAAGTAGAAGTGGGTGGCAACCTGGGCAGTAGTGAGCATGAGATGGTTGAGTTCAGGATCCTGACAAAAGGAAGAAAGGAGAGCAGCAGAATATGGACCCTGGACTTCAGAAAAACAGACTTTGACTCCTTCAGGGAACTGATGGGTAGGATCCCCTGGGAAACTAATATGAGGGGGAAAGGAGTGCAGGAGAGCTGGCTGTATTTTAAAGAAGCCTTAGTGAAGGCACAGGAACGATGTGCAGAAAGAATAGTAATATGGCAGGTGACCAGCTTGGCTTAACAGAGAAATCTTCAGTGAGCTTAAACTCAAAAAGGAAGCTTACAAGAAGTGGAAACTTGGACAGATGGCTAGAGAGGAGTAAAAAAATATTGCCCGAACATGCAGGGGTGTAATCAGGAAGGCCAAAGCACAATTGGAGTTGCAGCAAGGGATGTGAAGGGTAACAAGAAGGATTTCTACAGGTATGTTAGCAACAAGAAGGTGGTCAGGGAAAGTGTGGGACCCTTACTGAATGGGGGAGGCAACCTAGTGACAGAGGATGTGGAAAAAGCTGAAGTACTCAATGCTTTTTTTGCCTCAGTCTTCATAAACAAGGTCAGCACCCAGACTGCTGTACTGGGCAGCACAATATGGGGAGGAGGTGAGCAGCCCTCAGTGGCAAAAGAACAGGTTAAGGACTATTTAGAAAAGCTGGACATACACAAGTCCATGGGGCTGGATGCCTCACCTCAGTCCCTGGAAACATCATTGAGCAGGTCCTCAAGGAATCCATTTGAAGCACTTGGAGGAGAGGAAGGTGATCAGGAACAGTCTGCATGGATTCACCAAGGGCAAGTCATAAGAACATAAGAACGGCCGTACTGGGTCAGACCAAAGGTCCATCCAGCCCAGTATCCTGTCAGCGGACAGTGGCCAATGCCAGGTGCCCCAGAGGGAGTGAACCTAACAGGTAATGATCAAGTGATCTCTCTCCTGTCATCCATCTCCACCCTCTGGCAAACAGAGGCTAGGGACACCGTTCCTTACCCATCCTGTCTAATAGCCATTAATGGACTTAACCTCCATGAATTTATCTAGTTCTCTTTTAAACCCTGTTATAGTCCTAGCCTTCACAACCTCCTCAGGCAAGGAGTTCCACAGGTTGACTGTGCGCTGTGTGAAGAAGAACTTCCTTTTATTTGTTTTAAACCTGCTGCCTATTAATTTCATTTGGTGGCCCCTAGTTCTTATATTATGGGAACAAGTAAATAATTTTTCCTTATTTACATTCTCCACATCACTCATGATTTTATATACCTCTATCATATCCCCCCCTTAGTCTCCTCTTTTCCAAGCTGAAAAGTCCTAGCCTCTTTAATCTCTCCTCATATGGGACCTGTTTCAAACCCGTAATCATTTTAGTTGCCCTTCTCTGAACCTTTTCTAAGCCAGTATTTCTTTTTTGAGATGAGGAGACCACATCTGTACATAGTATTCAAGATGTGGGCATACCATGGATTTATATAAGGGCAATAAGATATTCTCCGTTTTATTCTCTATCCTTTTTAATGATTCCTAACATCCTGTTTGCTTTTTTGACTGCCGCTGCACACTGTGTGGATGTCTTCAGAGAACTATCCACAATGAGATATCTTTCCTGATTAGTTGTAGCTAAATTAGCCCCCCTCATATTGTATGTATAGTTGGGATTATTTTTTCCAATGTGCATTACTTTACATTTATCCACATTAAATTTCATTTGCCATTTTGTTGCCCAATCACTTAGTTTTGTGAGATCTTTTTGAAGTTCTTCACAGTCTGCTTTGGTCTTAACTATCTTGAGCAGTTTAGTATCATCTGCAAACTTTGCCACCTCACTGTTTTACCCCTTTCTCCAGATCATTTATGAATAAGTTGAACAGGATTGGTCCGAGGACTGACCCTTGGGGAACACCACTAGTTACCCCTCTCCATTCTGAGAATTTACCATTCATTCCTACCCTTTGTTCCCTGTCTCTTAACCAGTTCTCAGTCCATGAAAGGATCTTCCCTCCTATCCCGTGACAACTTAATTTACGTAAGAGCCTTTGGTGAGGGACTTT